GCACACGCACACAAAAAGGGGGGAAAGAGGTGGCTGTTCAGAGCTGCCTCTTCTCCCTCCGTGTCCGAATTGATCCTTGCTTGTTTTAACCTCTTTCTGAAGTAGAGGGATGTTATTTATGGTGTGTAATCCGGGTTGATGTGTCTCACGGTCGTGCGAATGTGTGAGCTTCAGTTGATGCAGAGTTGATGCCATACGCATGCACAGGCCATGTGCGTGAGTTTAAAAAGGTGATGATGTATGGTTCATGCAGGTTCAGTGCGTAGAAGAGCATGGGTTTTTTCCCCACCCCAAGTTGTCTGCCATTTCCCTTAATTATATACTAGCCTATCACCCGTACTACGCACGGAATAATTATAAATATTTATATTTGTTGTAGATTTTTTTTAATATACAAATTATGTTTTTTAAGATTTTTTATAAAAATAATTTAACAATCTTATCACTAACCATAGTGTATGGAAGAAGTTGAAAATGGTGTAACAATAGGCATGAGAGAAGTCAAAAAGACTTATGAGATGGAAGAAGATAAGGGTTTTTTTAAAAAAATCAAAAAATTAAAAAATTAAAATTGAGATATTAGAACTCCCACAAGACTTGTGGATTAAAAATTTTATTTTTTTATATAATATATAGCCTCCGTTTGAGAGGTGGGTTGGCTTTTTGACTTTTTTGCTATTTTAGCCTGGTTTGGGAAGGGTTTTTTGACTTTTTGATTTTTTTGACTTTTTTGTGAGAGAAGATTGTAATGATTATGGGTTGGATTTGATGTTTTATTTTTTGTGGTTAAAATAGTCTATTTTATTTTTTGTAACTATTTTAACCAAAAAAACTTGACTTTTTTCTTCCCAAACGGAGCCATAGATATAAATTTTCTCTCTCCCCAATTAATTTCTCTTAATATTTTAATTTAATAAAATAATTAAAAATTAAAATAATCAGCTTAACAAAAGAGGTCATAAAGTGAAGAGAGATTGTGATTGTGGGGAGACTTGAGTCAAATATCAGCTTTAGCTCAGCTCACCTCTTTTATTTGACACGGTTTTTTGAGAACCTAAATCTCTTGTCCTCTTCTTGTTTTTGACGCGGTTTTATAAGGGACCTAAACATCACTTGTCTTTGCGTGTATTGGCTTTGGCCCCTTCCTACCCCCTCTCGAGAAATGCGGATGGGGTACCACGCTGGCAGTCACAGGTGATACCTTGTCACTGATGAGAGATGAAAAAACAAAAATGTTAGAGGTTCCAAAAATTCTACTAAAAATTTTACCAAATGTCTCACATGGGTATGGGACCCACACAGTGTGGGTCCCACACCCATGTGAGACATTTGGTAAAACTTTTAGTAGAATATTTGAGATCTCTAGCATTACTCATAGTTAAAAGTTAACTTTTTAAATTTTTTTTTGAAAAAAAACGTGTAAAAAATATTAAAAATAATATGACCTAAAATGAATTAAAAGTTAAAAAATAATTTTAACCATCCTTTTAAAATGGCCGTAGAAAGCTACTGTTGGGGATTACCCATTAATATCATGCGTGCCAACCACCAACATATATAAACTCGTTACACTGCCAACCACCAACATATATAAACTCATGACACTGCCAACCACCAACATATATAAACTCATGACACTGCCAACCACCAACATATATAAACTCATGACACTGCCAACCACCAACATATATAAACTCATGACACTGCCAACCACCAACATATATAAACTCATGACACTGTATTTTGTAAGAGTATTCACACTAGTCTCTATAAATTAAAATTTTTAATTAAATATAGTTAGCAAATCATGAAACAATGCTCCATCTGACTCAAAAATCTAATTTACTGGCAATTGAATAGTTTATCTTTTTCTTTTTTTCTTTTTTGGGAGGGGGGGATAAACTTTATCTCCACTATTTTGACTTTTTTGAGTATTTTTCATTGAGGGAATGAATGATAAAATAGAATTAGAATAGAGAGTCTAATGAATGATACAGTTAAAACAGTAATTAATTAAAATAAGAAATTAGTTTTTTTAAATTAGAATTTGGCTCAAAATTTGTTAAAACTGATGTCGATGTTCTAATTAATCATAGAGCAGAAGGTTGTTAGATATTAAAAGAATTTGTTTTTTTTTTCTCACACATTAGAGCATCTCCAATGGCAAGCTATTGGAACTGCCATTGCCAAAATTTAGCAATAGTCTCCAAAAATCTTACCCCAGTGGACTGCTATAACCCTTGTTAAATTTGACAATTGCCATTTTCTCTGTCAAATTTGGCAACACGTTTGGCAATCATCATCCAAGCAAATAGAATTTGGCTCCAAAATTTCTATGGAACAAACAAACACATTGGGAAAAATCCAGCAGCAATACAATAATAATAAAAAATACTATTTTCTAGATTTTTGGAGATGGAGATAAAGGCAAAATCCCCCCCCATATATTTTTTTCAACAGTTTGATATTTATTATTTAAAATAAAGAAAATATATTTATTATATCATATTACAAAATCCGTATTTGGTCAATGAATTCCAAACTTTTATGAAAACATAAAAGTATAGGCTATTTGATAATAGGGTAATATTCAGAAATTTAATCAACACAATTTGTACATAGCACGAGTAGAACACTAGTAAATAATATTAAAAAAAAGTAAAATAAATTGGAGAGAGAAAATATGTTATTAAGGCCAAGTTTGACAACTCAAAAATAATCCATCTTTTTATCTTTTTATCTTTTTTCCATCACATCACCTCTCTACTTTTCTGCACATCTTTTCCTAAAAAGATAAAAAGTGCATTTATTTAGGTCATCCCAAAAACCTCTAACAACAAGTGAGATGAGGGAGAATTTCAAACCGTCCGTAAATTTTCCGTTAATTTTTGGGAGTTTTTTTTTCCCGATGTAGTAACTTGCTGACATAATCTAACTTCTTGTGTTTAGTCTTTTGTCCGAATAAAGCTTGAGACCCCAGTGGGGGTACTAGGGGTCCTCTCTGATTAAAACAAGCAAGGTGTAGTTTTTTTTTTTTTTTTTTTTTTTTCAAGTTTTTGGCCATTGGCAGCCCCCCACATGGAGGTGGGGGTGCTGGGGGTCCCTAGCATTGTCGTATTTTGTCCATCTCTCACTGGTGAAAAAGTGCCACCTGTGGCAGCCAGCATGGTACCTATCTGCACCCAAAAATTTCTAGCAATTGTGTCAACAAAATGGAGGGGTGTTTTGGAAAGTTAGTAAAAAATTAATTTTTTTATTTTTTTTTTACTGTTTTGGTATTTTTTTGGGAAAAAAACTGGCTTTTTTGATAGCTTTTTTAGTGGCTTTTTAAAAAAACTTAGTAAAAAGTAAAAAAACACTTAGGTTGCGTTTGGTATAATTTTGTAAATATGATTTGAAAGTATGAGCTGTATTTTGAGTTTGTGAGTTGTGAAATTATTATTTGAGTGTAGAAAATTTGTTTGGTTATCGTTTTTGAATAAAGTGTTGAATTAAGTTTTGAATTGAGTGTGAAATTGAATTTTGAAAGTTTGATTTGACATGTGAAGTAAGAAAATTTGTTTGATTATGTGTTTTGGAAAAAAAATTTAAAACTTAATTCAAATTGATATAACTCATAACAAAAGTATGTTTGGTTTGTGTTTGAGAGATGTGTTTTAGAGATAAAAAGTACGAAAAGTTGTTGGGTTTGGTTTTTTTCAAAAGATGTTTTGAAAAATTATTTTGAGAGAGAGTTTTGAAAAATTATTTTGAGAGAGAGTTTTGGAAAAAGTGATTGATTTGATGTGTGTGAGAGAGAGATTTGTTTGGAAAACTTGTTTGGTTTACAAGTTTTGAGAAAAATTTTTGGGAAAATTTATTTGGTTTGATTACTTTTAAAAACTTATTTGTAGAGAAAATTTCCCAAAAATTTTTCAGAAATCCAAACCAAACGAACCCACACTTTCACACTATTGAGAATTCTGATCAACACTCATAACCAAACTCTTTTGAAACTTCAATTAATTTTTTTTATTATTAACAGAAAATAACATTAATCAATTTTTTAATTGAAAACACTACAAAAGAAATAATTTTTTTTCAAAAAAATATTCAAAAAATTTAAATCATAAATATTTAAATAATTTAAATAATCTAAAAAATTTTAATAAGTAAAAAATTAAAATAAATATTCAAAAAATTTAAATAATTTAAAATGTTAATATTTTAAATTTAAAAACAACTCTACACTCAAATCGTAACCAAATACATAAAACAAAAAACAATTACGAAATTATTTTTAAAACTCATAACCAAACACATAACTCGAAACTCCATACTACTTTCACACCTCTACACTCAAATCGTAACCAAATATATAACAAAAAAAATATTTAAAAATATTTTCATAAAATAGAGTTTGAATTTATTTTTATAAAATATTTAAAAAATTAAAATCATAATATTTAAAAATATTCAAAAAATTTAAAAATTAAAAAAATCCTAACATATTTAAATATTTAAAATCTTAACAAAATTAAAAATATTAATTTGAATTGAGTTTTGAAAAGAGTTTTGAATTATGTGTTTGATTATGAGTTTTGAAAAGTAATGATTATATTTTGAATTGAGTTTTAAAAAATTGGTGTAGAATTATGATTTGAAAACTCAAAACAAATAATACATTTAAATCAATGAGTAAAACTATAATTTGAGAGGCTAACCAAACTAAGGCCAAGTTTGGCAACACCAAAATAATCTATCTTTTTATCTTTTTATCTTTTTTTCATCACATCATCTCTCTACTTTTCTACACATCTTTTTATAAAAAGACAAAAAATACACTTATTTAGGTCAGCGCAAACAACCCCTAAATTTAATTTTCTTATCAATTTCACAAAGGAGCACAAAACCGTGTTGAATAAAAAAAAATAATAATAAATTAATAGACAGACCGCGTTAAATTTCCTTTTTCTAACCTTCATATTAGGGAGAGATGAATCAGAGAAGAGAAGGAGAGAGAGAGAGAGAGAGAGAGAGAGAGAGAGAATATGGCGTTAACGAAGAGAATTCAGGGATGGTTCAAATATCAAGAACGTCAAGCTCTGATCGTTCTAGGTGAATATGTATTAGGAAAATGTCTCGTACCTCAAATTTTGTGGCTCAAAAGTGGCTCAAATGGCCAAAACGATGTCGTTTTGGCCATTTTTATGTTGTTCTGTACTCAAAACGACGTCGTTTTGGCCATTTGAGCCACTTTTGAGCCACAAAATTTGAGTTACGTAACATTGTCGTATATATTAATTGCATCTTTCATTTCTCATGGGGCTTATATTATACTTCAATACTGTAGCAACTAGTTTCCTCATATACACTTTTTTATTTTTAAATTTGCATTTCATTTCAAGGTTCTGATATAAATATCATCGGCAACTGGAACTACTAGCATATTATAATTTACAAGAGCGTCTGCTCCATAAATGTATAAAAAAGCTCCATCATACTTTCTAAAGAGTTATAATTTAAATCCAGTTATTTGTTGCCATTCGGAGTCCACCAAATAGACCACATCCATAAAGTCCCAACACATCTGAATTATCTTACCTTATCTTAGTTAATAAGTATCACATCAAGCAAAAAGACAAAATAGGCTAAAATAACTAATAAGACAAAATATCACATCAAATTCATAATCATTTCACTTTTTCTCTCACAAATATCACATCTAACCATAAAAAAATCCAATCATCTTCCCAAACACAAAAATTTTAGCCTACTAAAATAGCCAAAAACTAAAATAGCCTACTAAAATAACAACTTCCCAAACGAAGCCTATATATTATATTAGTTAATAAGTAATAGGGTAAATTACAAATATAATCATGAAGTTTGCTTTATATATAAATTATTTCTTGTGATTTAAAAAATTATAAATATCTCATTATTAGAATTTTTATTTAACAGAAAAAAATTCTAATTATTTTTTTATATAATAATAAAATTACTTAAATTATTAATTGAAATAAATTTTTGAAATCACTAAAAACTGTTAATTGAATTGATAATTTATTAATAAAGAGGGTCATTTATTATGAAATTAAAAATTTTAATAAGTGAAATTTAATTTCTAAAATTAGATAAAAGTAATTT